AAAAAAAAAAAAAAAAAAAAAAAATAAGAATTAGTTAATAAAGGGTGCGCGACAGCCCTCCCCCTCAATATAGCATACACATAAACGTAATAGTATTTTATTCGTTTGAATTTAATTTATAATTAATTAAAGAATTACAAGATTTTAATAAATATTTCATCTTTAAAGTTAATAAACCATAAGGGAATGATGGATCTGCTATTAATAATAATAAAAGATCACTATTTGGAATTTTTGTAATAGCAGCATGTAGATTTTCAATTTCATAGTTGTAGATTCTTGTTTCATACGAATCCCATTTAAAGATATAATGCGGTTCAGGTTCATCATTTTCATTTTCGTCCCATTTATCCTTACATAACAAAGTCATCAATTTCAAACTTGTTTCATTGTTGGTAGTATTAGAATCATCTAACAGATTTAAATTTGTCGAGTATGATAATACGGATCCATTCTTGGTAGAGAGTAATATAGCTGATTGTATTTGCAATTGTTGTGAATCTGTAGCGAATGGTTTTAATGTTTGATGTAACAGGTCCTCGATATAAGCTTCATGTATCATTGTTACCGATCTTCTCAATATTTATCTGTTCATATATGGTATGAGTTATGTATATTTTACCTCTTTAAGATTCCAATAGAGATAGAAATAGTGAGCGCCCTGTGCGAAATTGTGCAATAACAGGTACAGCACACTATTAGCACTAAATAACAAATATAATACAAGATAGTAATAACAGATACAGCACACTATTGACAAGAACAGATGCAACAGGAGATATAGACATAGCACGTATTCATTACATATACATCATTAACCGCAATCAGCTTTCTCTCTATATGTGGAAAACTTCTTTAATGATCTCTATTTCTGTCTACTAAAACATTTTGTAGTTGAGGGTTACCCTGACTATCCAAGCAGGAAGATCACGTGCACACGTATCGCGTCGCACGGCATACACGTGACATGCAATACATGTGCACGTGACACAAGCGGGTGTGTGGGTGCACCACGCCAAATAGAAAAAAAAGCAATCAAGCAATCAATCAACCAGAGAAAAGCCGTGGGGGAAAGGACGCACGCTGCTCGGCCGTTCGCGTTGTGCAGCGTTTTCTCTCTCTTCCGAGAGAACAACCGAACACGACTCCCACCCATTTTTGGGTTTGCGCTGTGGGACGGCTGTTGTCTCTGCAGGTGTCTGAGAGGGAAATGCGCGAAATATCTTTTCCAAAGACGAAAAGAGAAACTGAAAAATTTTCTCGATTTTGTTTGTTGTGATTTTGTTCTTGATTACGTGAAGTTTTGATTTGTCAACAAACAACAAGAACGGTTTGTTGACGTTTAAGGATAGAAACCATTCTATTCATTTATAAGTAATGCAATAATTCGCTGAAAAAATAATAATTGAAGTTGAATACTTTTCGTTCTTTTGCTGCTGTACTTTTTTTTGGTTTTGGTTTTAGTTTTGCTGTTTTATTTCTATTATTTATAAGAGACAGTTCCCCCTTCTTACATTTATTTATTTATTTATCTTACTTCGAGTTTTATTTTATTTTATTTTGCTTTGTTATTACTTTTATAATTTACATTAAACTCATTAACTTTCACTCATTACATACCCCTTCACCCTACCTGTCCACTCGCTATGCAATTCAAGAAGACCGCTCTAGCTACCGTTGCTGCTGTCTCTTCAACAGCTTACGCTGCTAACTCTACTTCCTCTCAATCAGTAGCCTCTGGTTGTAGTCTAGGTACTAGTGCTACCGCTACCGCTCAAGCCGATTTAGATAAAATCGCCAGTTGTACCGAATTAGTAGGTAATTTGACCATTACTGGTTCTTTAGGATCTGCTGCTTTAGCCAACGTTAAGAAAATCGATGGTTCTTTACGTCTATATAACGCTACCGATTTAGTTAATTTCTCTGCCGATTCTTTAACTATTGTCACTGGTGGTTTGACTCTAGAAGATCTAACCGTTTTGGCTAGTGCATCCTTCGGTTCTTTACAACAAGTCGATTCCATTATCTTACAAACTTTGCCAGCTATTAGTACTTTTTCAACAAATTTACAAAAGGCTAATAACATTCAAATCTCAGATACTACTTTGGAATCTGTTGATGGGTTTTCAACTTTAAAAGAAGTCTCTGAGTTAAATATTAATAATAACAGATATTTATCATCTTTCAATTCTTCTTTAGAATCTGTTAGTGACTCTTTACAAATCTCTTTCAATGGTGAATCTACCCAAGTTTCCTTCAATGAATTGGTTTGGGCTAATAACATCACTTTAAGAGACGTTGAACAAGCTACTTTCCCTAAATTACAAACTGTTAATGCTTCCTTAGGTTTCATTAATAACACTCTATCTAATATCACTCTAAATAAATTGACTAAAGTTGGTCAAACTTTTTCAGTGACTTCCAATGAAGATTTAACCGTCTTAGAATGTAAGAATTTAACTTCCATTGGTGGTGGTTTTGTTGTCGCTAACAACACCAACTTACAAAAGATCGACGGTTTCTCTAACGTTCAAACTGTTGGTGGTGCCGTCATCGTCACTGGTGAATTCTCTAGTCTGGATTTATCCTCTTTGAAATCTGTTAGAGGTGATGCTACTATTGAAACTAACGCTTCCAATTTCTCTTGTTCTGCTATTAAGAAATTACAAAGTAATGGTGCCATTCAAGGTGATTCCTTCGTTTGTAAGAACGGTGCAGTCTCTTCTTCATCTTCTTCAGCTGTCACCTCTTCAACTAAGTCTGGCTCAAAGACTTCTTCAAGCTCAAAGACTACTTCTTCAGACTCTAACTCTTCTTCAAGTTCAAGTTCAAAGTCTAAGGGTATGGCTGCTCAAGATTTCATCCCTGTCAACTCAGTTATGGGTGCTATCGCTGCTGCTGCCATCGCTCTATTATAAGCATAATCATAATCAGTTCAACCTTTTACTTATATATCCACCACCCCCCTTCTCATGTTTCATTAACGTTTTAACGTAGGTATTTTTTTTTATTTTGTACACAATAAATAGATAATTAATAAAAAAATAATTAATAAAAATAAAATTTGTAATATTTGTTAGTATAAGAAGTTTATTTGTATTTATATATTTATATTTATATGTATTTATTATTTTCTGTTTCTTCTAGATGGTGGAACATAGGCACCCTTCTTTGGTGCAGGTGAAGAATTCTTTTGTTCTAATGCAGCTTCCATTTCTCTTTGTTTACGAGCAATTTCTTCACGTTTAGAATCATCCATTGATCCAAATGGAGAAGCCTTTGGTTGAGATTTTCTTTCTTCAAGGGCAGCTTCCATTTCTCTTTGTCTACGGGCAATTTCTTCACGTTTGGAATCGTTCATTGATCCAAATGGTGAAGATCTTGGTTGAGATGGGGCAATAGATGGGGCAATAGATGGGGTAGCAGCAGCAACTGAGGCATTCTTCTTAGCAACTGCATCTTCCATTTCTCTTCTCTTACGCATAATCTCTTCATCAGATTGTGCACGGGCAGCTCTTTCTTCAGCTGCAATCTCAGCCTTACGTTGGGCAACTAGTTCATCATAACGTTGTTGACGAACTTCTGCAATACGAGCTTTCTTAGCTTCTTCGAATTTAGCTCTTAGAGCATCACGTTGAGCACCAAATTCTGCTTCATGAGCAGATTCCAATTTGGTTTTCAAACTTTGGAAGTCAGAATAAACACTGGTCAAACGTTCATGATCTTCTAGACGAGCTTCATGTTCAGTCTTAGCAGCAGCAATGATCTTTTCATTCATGGCTTCGTATTTAGTCATATCGACTGCCTTATATTCTTCAGCTTCCTTCTGTAAGATTGGTAATTCAACTTTTCTTAAAGCTCTCTCAGTGTAATCCAATCTGTTTCTAGCATAGTCAACCTTCTCTTGTAATTCAATTTGATCCTTAGACAACAGAGAAACAATCATGGTTCTCAAATCCTTTAGTTCCATGGTCTTAGCTAAAGCTGGGTCAATGTACACGTTACCCTTAGCGTTAATATCACCAATGGCCTTGGCAGTGATAGTCTCCTTCAATGCATTCAATTCACGTCTCTTCTTTTCAATTAAACGTTGACGAGCATCTTCAGCAAGCTTGGCTTCCATCAATGCCTTTTCTTCCAAGTTACGCTTTTGTCTGACTTCAGCATCAGCTTCAGCATGTAAAGCATTTTCTTCTTGGTATTTTCTTCTAGCTTCTTGATGTCTCTTTGTACGCTCTTCGGCAGCAGCCTTGGCCTTTTCAATAGATTCTTTGTTACGTTCAATCAAAGCTTCACGAGCAAGCTTGACTTTAGCAACGTATGGTAGACCAGCAAAAGTATCCACTTCACTTAAGGTCTTGGATAATTCAGATAGTCTGTTACGGATGTAGAAGTTACGAGTGACAATGACTTCGGGTTCAGCAGCACCAGTGGCACCTTCTTCACCTTCAGCTTGTTCACCTTCAACTTCTGCAATTTCTTCCTCACCTTCGATTTCTTCTGGAATTTCATCGTTTTCTTCTTCTTCAGCATCTTCAGTAGTTTCAGCTTCAGCAGAGATTTGGGCAAAAACAGTGAATGGATCCTTGACAAATTGAACAGTGTTACTCTCGTGGTCAATGGTGAAAGAAACATAATCTTCCACAGCAGCTTCTAACAAAGCTCTTTCGATGCTCCATTCAGACATGTTAAATGGCTCTGGTAAAGAAACGAATTTGTAAAGATCAGTCAACGTAATGCTATTGTTGTTGGTAGAGGCCTCAACAATAGATCTTCTAACAATGATATCTCTGATAGATTCAACGTATTGGGCAAAATATGGTAAAGCATTCAATTTTGGCAATAGAGCAGAAAGTTGAGCTTTGACACCTTCGGCAGAAAAGTCAACTTCCATAGCAGCGTATAGAGACTTGATGTCGTCGTTAACATACTTGTAGAAATCTTCTTCTAAAAGTGTGGCCATAACTTCCTTTCTGGTTGGCTTACCTTCTAGACCCAATAAACGGTATAGACGGAATTGACGATCATAACCAACAGTTGGTAAATCATCTAACTTGGCGGCCAAAACAGATAAAAAGATAGTAGAAGTGTAAGTCTTAAAATCATCTTCAGTAGCTTTTGGATTACTCAAATATAGATCGTAGAATTTCTTCCAAGCAACAGTATGTAGCAAGGAGTCACCAGATACAAGGAAAACCTTAGCTATGTTTTGGTAGTAGTTAGCCAAAGTGGAGGACTTTGGAGAACTCTTTGATAACTTCATCAAATGGAAAACATCTTCAATAGATCTGAAGGCCTCATGCCATAGTTCCAACTTAACAGAACAATTGACCAATTGGAAACGTTGTTCTAAATAACGTTGCAAAGTTTCATTATCACTTAGATCGACGATGTTTGTACCAGACTTACTTTGTTGGTAATTAGCAGCGTCCAAATGTTGACGTAACATATCAGCTAATCTTTTGAACTCATTCTTACGGTTGTTTTTCAAACAAAACATCATGGTTCTGTTAACAACACCAGAATATGTAATTTCTAATTGAGAGTTGTTTCTCAAAAGATCTAAGACAGCACGGTATGATTCCCATGTAAATCTCATCCATGAAGTTAGTGCTTCGTCATTGAAACCAGCAACAGATTGATCCTCTTCATAAGCAGAGATTAACAAATTTTCTGGGGTAATACCACCTTCCAAATCATCATCTTCTTCATCAGTCTTTTGGTCTTCCTTAGCTTGTTCAGAGACAATCTTCTTTTCAACAACATCAATGAATTTACGGGAGATAGCACTCACAGATGCTAAACCTTCTGGGGAACCTTGAACCAATTTCTTATATTGGTGAAGGGCATCTTTGATCATTCTACCTTTCTTTAGATCGACACCAAGTTCCAAAAATCTGAACACAATTGGTTCTACAGCTGCTGGTTCAGCAAAACGAATTCTTCTAGCTGTGAAGAAATCGAAAAGAGATTGTAAAGCTGCTTGGCTTTCACCAACAGAAATTAATTCTTCAGCTCTTTTAAGAGCATTCTCAGGACGTAATGGTGGAGGAGCCATCTTTGATCAGTATCCTTTTCGTTGATTTAGTTAGACCTATATTATAGTACTAATATAACGGTACTATCTTATCAAAATATAAGCTAAGGTGTCTTCAAATAGTATTCTTCTCTTTAGTTTGTACGCCAAAGTTAGCACACTATCAATCTATCAGCTTACTGAAGCTGGATGAGCGTCGAAAGTGAAAAAATTTTCAATTTTCGAATTAACTAGGCGTTACCCTCGTCTTAAAAAAAAAGTTCAGTAATATAAATACTAACACACCCAAAGTTAAGATAGGCATTATAAAGACAGAAAGAGATAGACCAAAGTTGATAACCCCCTACCCTGGATTAACTATTCACTATCTTATAGTGGCAAACAAACCCTAATTATTTTTTATTTCTTTCTTACATATATTACATAGATCACAGCTCGATATATAATCATCAGGCTTGTGTCATCAACTCTATAATCTCATTAACAGGGTCATCATCATGTCTAGCTGTTTCAATATTAGTTAATGCCTTTTTGATCCCAATGTTGAAGTTAGGAGTTACTCTGCTTAATTCGTGAACAACTTTAACTCTCTCTTCATCCTCTAGGAATTTTGTGTCCATCATAACATTGTTGAATTCGTCCAAGTTTGTTAAGTTTGGAATGGCAATTTCATTGTCAAAACAACTCAATATATCCATCTGTTTCAGCACACTATATGTAGATGTAGTTGTCATGATTAACAAACGGCGTCCCTCAGGTGGTTTTGTCATCAATGCTACCTTTAGAACTTGTAGAATATTGTTAGAAAATCTCGGACCGATAGGAACCCAATCGACCAAAGTCTCAATAGAATCAATCACTAGGATATTTAACGGAGATTTGTATGCATCTCTAAAAGTACTATCAATGTATGCAATCTTTGCATTTTCTGACATACCTGAAAGCTCACCAGGTGAAATCATTCTAATAAAGGGGAATTCGGACTTTAATGCAATGGATGCAGACAATGCTGTCTTACCTGAACCTGGTGGACCATGAAGCAACAAGGATACCAATCTAGACTTTTCACTTTCACGAACTTGACGAACATAACGCTCACCATTCTTAATTATAGAATTTACTCTATCAGAATATCTAATAATTCCACCTTCCATACACATTTTCAAGTCTTCCTCATTGATACCAAAGGCAGGTGTAACTTCACTTAGGGCATTCATAAAATCATCTCTAGTGACCTTTAATTTAGCAATATCCTTTGGATTTAACTTTGTAGCACCTTTACCAATATTAACAGTCTTATTTATAGCAAAAGAACTTGCACTCTTAACTAGACCTTCAATTTCTGCACCAGAGAAATTCTTTGTCAATTTAGCTAGCTCTGCTAGATCAACATCGGTATCCATCATCTTGTTCTCTCTCATTTTCTTGGTTTGAATTTCGAAAATTTGTAATCTACCTGGCTCATCTGGAAGATGAATTTCGACTTGGACTTCGAATCTACCTGGACGTAGTAGAGCGATATCAATCAAATCCTTACGGTTAGTCATACCAATGACCAAAATATTATTCAATTGATCAACACCGTCCATCTTAGCTAATAATTGGTTAACAACGTTGTCACCAACCCCAGTACCATCACCTCTAGAACCTCTTTGTTTGAATACAGAATCCAATTCATCAAAAATGATAATATGTAATGATGAATCATCACCTTTAGCCTTATATTCTGCTTCGGCATCTTTGAAAAGATTACGAATATTTTCTTCTGAAGAACCGACATATTTACTTAAAATTTCAGGACCGTTAACAATCTTTGGCTCCTTGGCATTTAACATCTTACCAATTTTTCTGGCAATCAATGTCTTACCTGTACCTGGAGGACCGTACAACAACAGACCCTTCACATGGGTGATACCTAATTTTTCAATTACAGCTGGAGGGAAAATTCTACTAGCAAATGCTCTTCTAAAGATCTTAGTAAATTCCTTATCTAAACCACCAACACCCAAATCTTCAAATTTAAAATCTGATCTAATAACCGCGTCAGATCTAGGTCTCATAGAATTACTGGATGTTAAATTAACTAGACCATCTCTACCTTTGAAAAAGTTAATTTGAGTCTGCTTAGTTAATATACCTTTAGCTTCAATTCTTGCTTGAACTTCGTTACTCATTTCAATATCACCTAAATCAATAGCTTGTAAGTTTCTAATTCTTAAATCAAAAAAATGACCTTTAAATTCCATAACCAGATATTGAGTGGCAGAAAAAATCTGCGATTCGAAATTTTTAGCAAATTGAGCAGCTAATTCGTCTTGATCAAATGGTGTAGTGACAGCTTTACCTCTAGATCTGAAAGATATTTCAATATCCAAGGTTCCTAAATAGGCTCTCTTACCGGAATACTTGAATAAATCAAAAGCTCTTGCTTGCACTTCTTGATTCAAGGACCAACCACCCCAACTACGTTGGTTACCATTTAAACCAACAGTTCCTGGAGCAACATCATTAGAATGCTTAGTTGTATAGACAAACAGGTTGTCTATGATAACATATATATTATCAGGAAAATCATTCGGAGAGACACTTGCAACGTTGGCCAATGCTAGATTGTTATTAGGACAATTGGCAACTAGTAAGTGGCGTGGTCTTTGATCCACATTGCTCATATCTGGTGCAGTATTGCTATGGCCCACATTTCTGCTAAACCCTGGTATCTTAAACTTATCCATAGTTGTTTCTTGACAATAGAGAATACAGGTATACCTTCTTTCCTCTTGCTTCTTATCATTTTGTTAGAGATATGTCTGCAGAATAAATATGTCCCTATTTAAGTACACTTTATCATTCTTTACCTCAATCCAAATTTCGTCGAGGTTGTTCGCAAATTGTTTTTAGCGCGACCAGAAGTCAACGGTCAGAAATGGCGTCACATCACTTACTCCGTTACAAGCACAACTTCACTAAGTGTCAATTCCTTGACGTATGCTATAACGATTATCTCAATTAAGATTAGAACTATTACTATTTTACCCTGAGAATGTTTTTTTAAAATATATAAACACTTAAAACTAAATAGTGACCTCTCTCTGCTGTCGAAAATAAATATATTCTATTATTGTTACAATATTTACTATAATGTCTTCTATATATGATTACTTCTCCTCAATTTTTGGAAGACTTAGACTGAATGATCCTGCATTGGATGCATCTATATCAGATAATAGACTACTATCTGGCCCTGTTAAACTACTCGTTTCCGGCGTACCGACTGCGACAGAACTATGACCTTCTTTCGGTAGTGCGATTGATCCACCAGTAACATCTTCTGTGACAGGCTCAGCAGTCACCTCGACCTTGGCCACAATAGGTTCGTCTGGGAGAATAAAGGCATCTGCGAGAGGTTTCTTTTTATATGCCGTGCTAATTTTACCAGTAGGTGGGAGTCTTAATCTAGCAGTACCCTTCGTTTTCACAATAACCTCATCATCTTCCAAAAGAATATAGTTCGGAGAATCCAGGTTGGTCTCCTTCCTTTTAATTTTCTCTTCAATAGTTACACCTTTTGGAGGCTTCGTAGTATACAATTTGGAACGTTCAAATGCTTTCTGTAAAAATGGTTTTAGAACTGCAGAACACTTTTCAGAATCTATGTAATCCTTAGGAATTCTTGGATAGCGTGTTTTTTCAAATTCTTCTGGTTGCAATTTCTTAACTTGCACCTTTGTTTCCCCATCTGTTGCTTGAAATTGAGAAGATAATAGTTGTAATGGAACGGTTGAACTTAATACACCAAACTCCTTTTCCAGACCAAGTTCCTTGAAACCAAAAAAATCTTCCCCTGTTAACTCGGTAGCAAAGTCACCAGTTAAGAAACTTTGACTTTCGTCATCGAAATTACGTTCAGAAAGTTCTTTTAAAGTTGGTCTTAATAGTTCTTTCAAAAAGTTTTCTAGTTTCATCTTTACATCCTTTAATTTTCTTGGTTTTTTCCCAAACTCAGATTCCAAATAAGTATAGAGATCATCTGGTCTACTAATACCATTTTCTAATAGGGAGATTTTCAATATGTCTTCTCGTTTCATTTTGTTCAGAGAGTCACTTTCTGAATGTATCTTTACGGTTTTGATTAGATTTGATAAATATTCTCCGGCCAAGGATGTCAACATATTAACAGCAGCAGGCTCAGCCGTTTCGAAGCCGTTAGTCATTGATATCTTAGAAACGTTCTTATGCATAAACTTCCACATCAACTCCTTGTTATCCCTGTTATCATGTGTTGGAAGTTGAGAAACTGGATCCAAATCAATTTTATCGTTGATATCATCATATTTATATTGATGTGCATTCAAGAGTGTCGTGGCATTGGCACTACGCTGACTTTGCATATAATGAGGATTCTGAAGCATTCTTATTAACGATATCTTGTGACAAATGTGCCTTATTTGTTGTATCAACGAAATATTCTTATTAATCTTTGGAGTTAAGCCCTTTTTAATATTTTTTAGATATTCACTTTGTTTCATGACACCTTCCTCTACGACGGACTCAATAATAATGTTCTCCTGCTTGTCGATTTCTTCTTTGTCAACACCAGAGTAGACAAGATCCGGATATATATTGTTCGTGTCGTATTCTTGGAGGAATGTAGTGTTATCGATATCGATCTCATAGGCACCCTTATCAAAGAGAGTGCTCTCTAGTATACTGGCACTTGGGATTGCTGATTGATCAGTTTCTTCTGTTTTAACAACGTTACCAAAACTGTTTTTCATTATTGATCGCTGTTCTACTCTTTGGCTATACAATTCTAATTCCTTTTGGGTTCTATATTCACTAAAAAGATCATCGAAGGGTTTCATCATCTTTGGATTCTTTAGTAAGGCGGCAGACTGAGAATTTAAATGAGAATCTTTGAAATACTCTGATCTTTTTAAACATATTTCTGCCCTTACCTTTGCAGTTAGTGTTTTCCAAATAGATATTTCAATATCATCTTTATCATTGTCCCTCTCTAGAAGATAAGATTGTGAATTCACATAATTCCCCTCTTCATCCTTATCTTCGTCCTCATCGTCCTCATCTTCAGCCTCTTCATCGTTATCAGGATTGATTGAATGATCATTATCTTCATCTTCATCTTTAGCTAATTCGTTATTTTCAATCTCGTCCTTTTTGTCTAAAGGGGGGTTATTACCTTCTTCACCACCAGAATTTGCAGTGACTTCATCTTGCTCGTTTTTCACATCAGTAGTTGAGTCAACCTTGACCTCTTCCTTGTCAATTTTATCATTTTCTGGACCCATTTCTTTGTTTTCGTTGCTTTCCTTGATACCATCATCTTTCTCTGATAAAGCAAATGTATTTTCTTTGGTGGTGGTATCTTGAGCTCCATTTTCAGATTGATTCACAGGTTTATGCGCACCCATATTCAAACCCTTCCTTCCGGACCCCGCAACTTCTTCATCACCTTCCTCATCCTCCTCGTAATCCTTATCCCTTTCCATGTCGTCCATTTCCTTTTCAACATCGGCCCTTTTCCTGATCGTAATATTAGGTATCATTGGTATTAGTTGTAAAGATTTCTTCTGCATAGCAATTGCATGCGCCCTCAGAAAATGTGTTGGATCTGAATTATATGTTAAGCAATTCTTCCAGATCAGAAGAATATCATCTACAAATTCTTGTTTAGACCGGTATTGGAACATCTTCAATTTCTTTAGGACAGTATTCAAGTCCATAGATTTTTTAATAACCTGATGGTAATTTGGCGCTTCTCTTTTACTGACCTTATTTAAAAATGGAGTTGAATGTTCAGTATAGTTTCTTAATTCTAAGACGACCTTTTCACAGGCTTCGTACAGCTCTTCTTGACCTATCTTTTCGTCAGAAGCCCATTTTGATCTATTCTTCCTTACATCCACCAGCAAATGTTTCAACTCGTAATCGGAAATATCCAATTTTGACTTATTATCAGCAATAGATGATAATAAATGCTTGATCGACAAACTAGCGATTCCATAATTGGAAGGAATGCTGACATTATCCTGTTTAGGTCTTTTACCATCATGCTCGTCCTGTTTATCAGAGTCAAGAGGCGGTGTTTCCTTTTTATTTTCTTGCAGGTTAGTAACCGTATCTTCTGAATTCTCTTCATTAGATTCACTGTAAGATCTCTTGTTTTTTCCTGATTCAATTAGTTCATCATTCTTTTCTAGTTTTAAACGTTTTAACATAGTCTCTCTATCGTACTCAAAATTATGATATATACTTCTCCAATTAGATAGAATCCCATTTATATTTGTGGGTCGTAGTTTTGTTAAGGTTTCCTTCGATATTTTCATAGTCAAAATAGACTTGTTATTATCATCTTTTTCTAACTGGACAATATCTGTTGTATCTTTTGCCGAAGGGTGCGTAGTAATGTTGGATTTATTTGTCTCTTCCATGTCATAATCATCATCATCATAATCCTCGTCCTCACGTTCGACGTTACCTAAAGGTTGATCTTCTGCCATTTTTTCTTTGATTTCCTTCTTGTCGCTATCGATCTTCTCTGCATCAACAATATCTTCTTCTTCATCAAGAAGTATGTAATCATTGTCCACGTAGTTACTATCATCTTTATCAAAATGTAGTTCATCATCTTCGTTCTTTCCATTTATAGCGAACTGCCATAACACATAACGTAATTTCAATGAAAGATTACCAATAAAATTTGGCCCATTGATGCTCTGTTTTAGCTCCTCCAAATCTAATTGCGAAAAGTCATCGTCATTCATCGGGGGTTCGACAGAAGAGCTTCTATACCCATCATTTTCAGTTGCATCTTCGGATTTTGATTGGGTAGTATTTTCATTCAGGACATTCAATGACAAATTACCTTCCATAAGTTCTTGCCATATTTTGATCTTTCCCTCATCATTTGCTGCCGTTATTATAAATTCTAAAACAATAAGTTGCTGAGGCGTCAAATAAGAATCAAAAGCATTATTACGGAACAATTTTTCAGTTAAATGAAGTAATGGTTCTACTTTTGTTTGCTGATAATTTGTTATTGGTATTCCGTCAAACATATTGGATACTTGATATTTCAAAACAATGAATCACTTAGACGGCTCGTTGACGTAAACAAACAAATAAAAAAGTAGATATATCACTCTTGATTGTAGTTGAAGTACCGTTTTATATCGTGATTCACCTTACTTTGTTTTCCACTAGATTGTTGATACTACTATGACTTTTTCATATTAAATTAAATCAAACTCGCTCTTATTTTTGCATTCTAAATTTTACCGAAAGATTCGTGGGTAAGAGTGAAACTGACATAATTTGGCTAATAACATCTAATATTCAAAGAGAAAACAATAAGGCTCAAAAACTAAGCCATCAAATTATTGCTTCATAAAGTAATACAATAAAATCACGATCAAATCAATATTTAAAGACATATTTTTTCTTTGGAGAGAAAAATGAAAACAGAATAAGATTGTTAAATTCATAATGGTAACGCTAATTAAATTATCCTTGTTCCATCTAGGTTAACCAGATCTAGGTAGAATGCTGGATATAGAACAATACCGATTGCCTAGGAAAATAAAAAAAAAAGTTATGTCAGCAATGAGAAGACTAATTAATGAAATTTTACAGTACATGCAAAATAATTCAACATTAGTAACATAAGTATCTAGCGTAACATTGTTTCATCAGTAACCCTGCAAAGGCGGAATCTATTCGAATATAATCCAGCAAAAGTAATACATCAAACAGTGGAACATAGATAAAATTAGTTTTAGATTCACACAACCGTTATTACTTTTTAGAGATCTACCATCGTTATTTCAGATTTATCCCAGATACCCTTTTTATCTTAAAACAAATAAAATCATCCATTCTATGCTTAGTTCAACCATCTGTTTATATTAGTTCACAATACATATTTGTATTTATTATTGGGCGGGTCTTAAATTCTAAAATTCCCATTTTATTGTCAATTCTACATTTATTAGCATACAAAATTTGATATTTATTCTGAAAAATACAAAATATTCCTTTTTTTTGGTCCCAACAAAAGTAGAAGCCGAAAGAACAAAACTCAAGAATATAACAATAAATGCAGCTTAGAGCATATGAACTCATATACTTACCCTCTTTGGAAGAATACTTTCATGAGATTGATTATGGTTTTTATTTGGAAATATTTGAATTTCCTGTTGATAAAAGTTTTCAAGCAAAATCACATAATGCTTACTATTGTATTATTTTTGAAATAAAAAAAATATTTTGACCTCTTCTCCTTTTTAAAATCATGTAACTGATACACATAAGGTTATAATAAAATCTACAAAATATCTCCTGAAACATATATATAGGCTATAATAAATAAACGTTTTTGTTTTACCAAAATGTTTAATTCTATTTATATTAAAATAATGTATATTTACTATTGAATAAAATGCCTAAAAATATACATTCTTTAAGATCATACAATTTAAAACTGATATTATGATTAATTGAAAAATGCAGATTTTAAAATATTTTTTAATAATTGCAATCCGTGATAGTTTAATGGTCAGAATGGGCGCTTGTCGCGTGCCAGATCGGGGTTCAATTCCCCGTCGCGGAGATTATTTTTTTAAATATATATTTTTTGTACCTGTAGGAATGTTCCCAAATGAACATGAACCGCCGAGGTTCGATCTCTTTGATATTCAACCCAACAACAACAACAACAACTATATCGAAATGTCATCTGTTTCAACAGTATCAAACCTCAGAAACCAAACAGACCGATACTTATAACAAGGTAGCTTGATGAAAAGAAGAGTCTGTTCATATGATAAATAAAAAAAGATAATACAATGATATTATATATACAAATAACATAAAGATTATATATAAAGACTTTTAAGTTTTTATTGAAAATGCATATCTAACATGTATATATATAGTATATGTCTGTGACTTTTCTCTTTTTATTCATACAGCATATTTCTTAGTCCATTCCTTTGCGGTAGTTTCATATTTAGATCTATCGGTCTTGTATAAATGAGCAATCTCTGGAACCAAAGGATCATCCGGATTCGCATCCGTCAATAATGAACAGATGGACAGCAAGACTTTCGAAAGCGTCAATGCAGGAGACCATTGATCCTTCAATATATCCAGACAAATATTACCATTAGCATTGATATTTGGATGATATATCTTTGTGGTGAATGCGATCTTTGGTGGCTTGAAAGGATAGTCTGTTGGGAAGTTAATGGTCAGAAAGAATACACCACCTGCATATGGCGAGTCTGGAGGCCCCATGATGGATGCTTGCCAATGGTAGAGATCGTCGCCTACGGGGCCTGCTGAGAATGAACTTATAGGTTCCTTAGACAGATCGTTAAGTTCTTTGGATATTCTTTTTCCAGACATTATAAATGGTATGGCTTCGTATGTATGTCTGTGTATATATCTATATGAAATGTATTCGACAGAGGTTGCGATAGCAATATTACTAATAAGAAGTAACTAGTTGAAAATTTGCCTTGTTTTCACACTTTCTCTCTTTATATAATTATTATATAATCAAATCAATATCGCAAAAGGGGAGCGAGACGGAACGACACCGAAGGAAAAGAAACTACACCAACAGTTTTCAACGCCTCCCCGCTGCCACAATTGCTGGCCCCCACGGTACAATAATACTCCGCGCGAGTTTTTTCAGTGGCGGCGGTGGGGGGGGGGAGGGCAGAGAGGTTTCGAGGGTAGAGGAAAACCCTAACCATAAATGCTAATACTAGGGCATTTTTGGGAGAGGGAGCGAGGGACAGCAAGCAACAGATGTTCTGCATAAGAGAGGAACTCATTGGGCCAAGAAGTCATTGCTTGCACACACTCACACACACACGCATATGTGCGTTTATGGTCTCTCAGATGTGAGACATATACAGCTAAGAGTAACCGGTTCTCCGTTGTGTCGTGTCATGTTGTACGACCGCCCTACTTGATGTGGTCTCTGTAGTTTCATGACCGTTACTATAGACGCCGTTCGTTTGATCCCAAGTCGGATGTTATCAGCACTCCAGAAGTAGATGCTGGCAGTGTCGAATCGTTGGTCGTGAGCTTGTTACCCTCACGACCCATCTTCTTTTCTACTTTGCCGCTTATAACCCAAAGAAAAACAAGCCAGATTTTGTTAATTTCTTCAATGAGCTCGGATTCCCTCACAAGAAAAATTTTCGTTGGTGTGTGCTATTACGACGAAGCGGAAAACTAAGAGCGATGCGATGAGGTGAAAATTTTCAGTACGTAATATATATATATCTATACATTAAGCTAAGTCACACTGATCACTACAATTATATAGAGGTTATTTTACTCATCAGTTCTCCAGGCAGTGTACATCTATCATATATATATATATATATATATTTACTATTCCCACAAAATATCTGACGATGAGCGCTGAGGAAAGTTTAAATCTGTCCTCTTTGAGAGACAAGATATCTTCCAAGTTAAATAAGAAGAAACCTAAGAAAGTGTCCACTGATGAGGACGACATTGTATTGCGTCGTGAAGCCATGGCTTTGGGTGCCACCGAGGACGATCTGAAACTGGTTAAGAATGTGAAGGCTGATAATGAGGCAGAGGCTAGCGAACAGGAGTTTTCGGGAGATGACGCCGAACCTGATTTGAAGGAAGATTTGAAGAAGTTCGTTAAGGATATTGGATTCAATGAAGAAATTGCTTCTAAGGATGAAGAAGAAGAACTTAGTTCTGAAGACGTTGACGAAGAAGAGCAAGAACAAGAGCAAGAGCAAGAGCAAGAACAAAGTTCTGAAGAAGAAGAACCAGAACAAGAGGAAAGTGCTGAACAAGAGGAATCCGATGTAGAAACTGAGGTTTCGAAAGATAAACAAAACAGTGGATTTGTTTCCCAAACTACAATGTTAAACACTGATAAATTATTGATCCCAATCGATACTGCATGGTATGATGTTCCATTAGATCCTCAAGTGACTGAAAATATTAAAAGGAACGTCGATACATTCATGTCTAAGGATAAACTTGAGAGTCTATTAGAAAGAGGAAAATTAGCTTTAGAATCAGAAAATCAATTATTTTATGATGAATTTACTAAGGAATCCTCTCAAAGAAAGTTTATGTCTCAAATGCTATCAGATGGTACTTTGAGTGATAAAATTTCTGCTTTAACTTTATTGATTCAGGAATCTCCAATACATAACATGAAATCATTGGATACTTTATTTTCTTATTGTAACAAGAAATCAAGAAACTCTCAGTTACAAAGTATTAATGCATTGAAGGATTTGTTCCTAAGTGGTCTTTTACCAGATAGAAAATTAAGATATTTTAAGAATCAACCTGGTTTATCAATGATGTTAAATAAACGTACTTTGGCAATCTTCTATTTTGAAGATTACTTAAAGAAGTTCTTCTTTGGAATCTTAGAAGTACTTGAAAAGATCTCTCACGATCCAATTATTCACGTTAGATCTCAAACTTTAACTCATGTCTTTGACATGATCACTAAAAAACCAGAACAAGAATTCAATTTATTAAGATTAGGTGTTAACAAGTTAGGTGATATCGACTCTAAAGTATCCTCAAAGACCTCATACTTGTTATTATCTTTGGAACAAGCCCATCCAAATATGAAAAGTGTGATCATTGATGCCATTGTCGACATTGCATTGAGACCTAATGCGGATTATCATGCTATCTATTACTCTGTCATCACGTTGAACCAAACGATTTTGAAAAGATCGGATGATGATCTTGCTAACAAATTGATTAAGACTTATTTCACTTTGTTCAGTAAATTCTTAATCAGTAACGATAAAGAACAAACTGACGACGTAGAGGTCAAAAGTGAAGCTAAAGGCTACGAAAAGAAAAGAAAAAAGAACTTCAAAAGAGGGAAGAATGGTGGAAAATCAGTTAAGATGGAGAAAACTGATGCAGAAGTTCTGAATGAAAAGAACTCAAAATTGTTTAGTGCTCTATTGACTGGTATTAATCGTGCTTTCCCATTTGCACAATTACCAGCATCTGTGTATGAATCCCATTTAGAAACTCTTTTCAGGATTACCCATTCTGCAAACTTTAACACATCTGTCCAAGCTTTAGTCTTGATCAATCAAGTCACCGTTAAAGCTAAATTAAATAATGACAGATATTACAGAACTCTTTATGAAGCTCTATTAGATCAAAGATTATTGAACTCCTCCAAACAAGGTATCTTCTTAAATTTGTTGTTCAAATCTTTGAAACAAGATGCAAGCAACGTTGCTCGTGTCGAAGCCTTTGTGAAGAGAATTTTACAAGTTTCAGCACATTGGCTAAATATTGGAACCACCACTGGTTTCTTATACCTTTTGATACAACTAACTAAAATGGTTCCTCAAATCAGAAACCTATTAACCAATTCCCCAATGGACGATGAATATTTAAGTGATAATGAAGACAAGACTGATGACAAGACAAAGAATATTTATGATAGTCGTAAGCGTGACCCAAGATTTGCTAACGCGGATAAATCTTCACTATGGGAAATTACTTACTTTTTAAACCATTTCCATCCAACCGTTCAAACTTACTCTAATGCATTTGTCGAAAATAGTACAACAGATATTACAAAGCCAGACCTTGGTTTATTCACATTGACCCACTTCCTTGATAGATTTGTCTATAGAAATGCCAAACAAAAACCAATAAATAGAGGTAGCTCTATTATGCAACCCCTATTTGGTGGTTCCAAAATTAATGATGCATTATTAGTAAAAGCTTCAGATATTAGTCCTGAAAACGCTCCAGTAAACACCGAAAACTGGCTTGACAAGAAGATGGAGGATATTAAACCAGAGGACAAGTTCTTCTACCAATATTTCTCTACCAAAAAGAGTGCAGTCAAGAAACAGAAGGGTACTACCTCAGACAAGTTTGATGAAGATGACGAAATGGATGAAGACGAAATTTGGAATGCTTTAGTCAAATCTAGACCGGAGGTTGAAGATGATAGCGAGGATGATATTGGTTTTGACGATGATGACTTAGGGTCTATGAGTGATTCTGATTCTGATAACGACCTAGAAGGAGCTATGAATGATTCGAATGTTGAAGATGAAAGTGACAATGAACCTATTGAACTCCAGACTTTACCGGAATCAGAACAGTCTGATGGCGGTGAGAACGAAGAAGAGTTCTATAGTTTTGCTGATGAAAAGGATGAAACTCCAAATAAACGTTCTTCAGATGATACTGATGATAGCGAGAAAGCGAAGAAGAAGAGAAAGAAGCAAAAGATGAAGGAATTACCACTATTCGCATCGGCAGATGATTATGCCAAATACATGGAATCTGATTAAGAATTGGCATCTTTTCAGTAGAGTAAAACAATATATATATCACACCTACATTTTTCACTGTACATTAACAATATAATATTAACATTAACCATTTTAGATGGAAAAGTAACAGTATATGACTAATTAAGTTCCCTTTTGGGTATGACATTCTGTATGTAAAAGTCCTTAGTTTTTGACAAGCAATTTTCTTTTAATTGCTATGTATTAAAACAATATAGCATACCCCTCTTTTATTGAAATACATTATGGACTTAAATGGTAAGTTCAGCAATAACAACGGAATTATTGTTTACGATGATGGTTCATGTACAAAGAATGTAACTAAATTATATCACAATAATAAAATTAGTTGAACAGTTATCTTATCAGTTTTCGGTTGGACAAAACATGTTTGAATATTTTTAATTGATAATACAAAAACTCTGGTAAACAATTAGAGATATTCTAAAAGATTGGAAAAGACGGGAGTAAAGTAATTTCTAGGAAAATAATTCCATTAAGACAAAAAAAACTGTATCTGTTCATTCTTGACCTCATGTAGAAAAAACAGCAACCTGTGAATACTGATTTGCAACATTTCTTCGGAAGAATCTGTGGAAACTCTTTGTTCTCTTATATCCCAGTACATATATTAAGCAAGATTATAGGGTATTGCTTATCATTTCAGAGTAATGAAGGGTTTTTGTCATTCCACGTTCTGTGTATGTTTCTTAAGGTTATAGTACTGTGAAATTTGTAAACTATATATCTTAATGTTCTACATAAGTTGTCTTGCTCTGTTACAACTCTAAAGTTAAAAAAAAAGCTACCTTGAAATAAAGCTTAAATATAATTAACTTGGATTAACTTGGATTAACTATAATAAATAAGGTTATTGTTTCCTGGAGGACCTGGTAGTGTAATAATAACCCACATAGCCGGGACAACCATTGTGAAATCAATAGATAGCAAATTACGAAAATAACTAACAATATCTAATAGAAGCATACGCACCATTTTTGTTACCATTGTTCATTTATCCTATTTTAGACCTTCCCATTATCCCATGTGGTTTTTGTGATGTTACTTTTCTCTGTTGTGGCTGACTCAGCTTCAGAAAAGAGCGTACCATAAATAAATAAAAAACTTTAATTTTAGACACATCTCAGAATGTGCTGTAGATACTTTTATAAATTTTAACAGTTGAAAATAGTCATCAGACTAAAAGAAGGAAATTAAATTAATAAAGCTGGGGTCTTCATATTTCTTGCTGGATCAAGACCTGACTTAATTTACAAAAATAGTAAATATATGACCCCCCTTTCTTTTTAGTACTGATAGCGAATTTTTTCAAAATGTGATGTAATGCACTTAAAAATACCCGATTAAAAGTAATACCAAATACAGAGGGAATTATCTAGCATATATTTCTAAGCAACTAAGCCTAAAATAGTTAGCCAATAGTATTTGTGTACTTGTGTATTTTATTTATATGACATTTAGATGAGTACAAGATGTGTTTGGACACATTGTGACAATTCTACACAGTGATCCTCTTCGTTTACATTCAAAACCCATATATGAAGGAGAGCTGACCAGATGGGCTTTCTAAAATGAAAACTGCTACAAGTACGAAAAGTGAAACCTATATGTTATGTGGAGTAATGTATATCATTGATGTGCCGTTTTTGAAACAAATATTACGCTTCAGTTTGATCCAGTAAAAGAGAGGTAAAAAAAATGCCCCGCAAAATTTTATAAAATAACGCAGTCATGTCCTGATTTTTAAGTTTTTGTCAGATAACCTCTAGTACAATTTTCTAATCATCACTTGAAAACTTTGACCTGACCTTAAGGCAATTTCAACAAATAGAAACAGACTTTGATTGCTTGAAATTATTCAAGTTTTTGTGTTGTAAAAATAAAAAGACATAAAAAAAAGAAGCTTAGTTCAATCCAGTTCACACAATAAGATAAAATATAAAGTTTCATTGTTAAAATGTTGTGCACCAATATTACTCCATATATCTTAAGTTTTATTAAAGTTCGATAAATCAGTGAAAAGTAAAGGGTACCTAAAGCCTAACAAAGGGGAGCCTTTTAGGGATATATTAAATTATAAACTGCATGATAACAACCTCTAATTTAATAATTTACTATATACTTAATAAATTCACAATCATCTTCTGCGTGTTTTTAATATTTATAAACGAAGTAATATCGTTGATACATATCGCAGGTATATCAATTTATTTTGTATTGACTTCTTGACAAAAAGAATAAAGCACGATACTTCTATGAAGACATAACATTATCACCATCTATCTATCCATAGTTAAACAATTAATAAATAAAAGGGGATAAAGAAGTTTTACAATTTAAATTTTCAATATATTATTATAATAATACTGATTATTATAATAGCTTTAGCATTCAGTTTTCGTTTTCTCTGGATTTCTATTCTTTTAAACTTTTTTAAACTTTATTCTGATTACCTTTTCAAGGGTTTGTATTTCTACTTCTGGATGAGTGAGTTTTCAAAATTAATTATTCGCATAACTGCGGAATTTCTTAAAGGAATTTTAATTTCGGTGAAAGAAAAAACTTTGATTTACATTTATTTCCCGCACTGGTGAAAAGTGTATATTGCATAAATGCATCAAAAAGAAGTTAACATTTTAAAATTTAATAATTAACTATTTTAATCTTACAGAAATATGTATGATTGTTGAGAATATCATTGACAACAGTTTAACATTAAACTCTCTTGATGAATGAAATCTTATTTATTCACATGTGAATTAATAAGATAGTAAAAATATATATGAGCTCTAAACTTTATCTTTTCTTTTTTGTTTATCAACAACCATAACATTCTTTTAAGGTTTAAATAACGTAGAGAAAAGAAGGGGTATGGTTTAATTTCTATTATTCAATCCTATAGCATGACTTTTTTTCCCATCTAATTGATACTCGGATTCTATTGTTTCATTATATCATATTTATTCATTTGTAAAGAACTTACTAATTTCCTTATTCCTCTTCCAACGGTTACTTCCCCTCGATGACTATTCCTTCGGACAAACAGAGTCTTGTTTTCAGTAAACTTTCTTTCATCTTCTCTATCCCTCTCTAATATGAACTAAAGGTATCTATAAAAACAATAGTTTTTTTATTAACCTCAATACGAGGTGCTACATTGCTATTAGTTAATCGCAGACGATCTATACGATATATATTTCGGTTTACTGCATCAAATAAACGTCCCTATTTCAAATATATAGTTTAATATCTAGACATTATTTGTTTACATCTACTATAACTTTGATTTCTTCAAAGTCCATTTTTGTCCCCATTGTTGTCCTGTTTATCCGTTTATATCTCTTGTTTTCCCCAGTCTCCTTAATTTCTCTATATAGCCTCTAAAGGTAGTATACATTAACCTATCCTCCTGTGATAAACTTTATAGCTGTATTTAGATATTAACTAGTGTTAGTTTTTAATCCCGTTCGAAACAGTGTAGCATTGCTTTTCTTATAGTGACCAGATTTTAAATGAAACAAGTAAGACATTTTTTTGGTGCAGCTATCCTGTAACCATTGACTCTGATCTATTGTAATGATTCATTTTCTTATTTCTTTAATTATTCTCCTTTGTTAAATATATTTTTTCTTATTGTATTATTTTATAATCTTCTTTTACTACGAGTATTATTTACTGAAGTCCTTAGCAGCTGGTGTACTTGTCAGAATTATTTGCTCCAACCAACAGATAAATTTACTTCTCAGTATTCCAAAATTATCTTCTTTTCGTATTTTTTAAAATTAAACTTTTTTTTTTATTATAAAATAGAAAAGAATAAAATATTTTTCTCCTTTTCCAAAACCTTCCAAAAGTGCAAAGTTCTTTTTTCCTTTTTTCGACCCCTCATCTCTTATTATTATATTTGTACCTATTAATATTTGCACTACTCTAACTACAACTACACCTATATCAAATTAATATTTTTGTTTTCTGAAGTATCAAGAAGGTTGTGATTTGACAAAAAGAAAAAAATAGTCATATATATATATACGTATGTGTGAATTTACATTGTCATACGATTGAAACAAATCATAGTCTAACTTAAAAACTGAAAGCACTAATTAGAAAATAATATCCAACAAACATAAAAACAGAATAAAATAGTTTTGTTTCTCTCAATACCCAAAAAATATTTTAGTTTAATTTAATTTAATTTAATTTTATTCTTTTGTCTGACATAATCCTTTTTTTTGCTTTTCTAATATTTGCCTTACTAAAGCAGAATCTCATTTTCTCAGTCGCCAAGAAAGGCAAACAAAGGGAAAAAACATTTCAGAAGTTTGTTTTCGAAATAGTCCATATATCGGAAATACAATAAATACCTGCCGAAGAATAGCGTTCCTTTATAGTCACCAATAATCTGGAGTTCAGGACATTCATTGTTGTTATACATCGAACAGTTGTTTACAACCTTTCGTGTTCCTCTCTTTATTAGGAAAACAACTCAAAGCAAGAGACTCATTACAGACCTGGAGGAATAAATATCAAAGATATACAGATAAAAGAAAGCTAGGAAGAACTAAAGAATTATTATACTGGGCAACACCATGTCACACGAAAATAGTGAGCAGTTAATAGACTCTGAGAGCAATGTAAACTTGCGGAAACGGAAGTACTTTGATGTTTGCTCATCGAGATCTTCTAGTATAAATCCGACCCAATCTAGAGTATTTGACGTTTATGTTAATAATACAGACTCTCCACAAAATCTTCAACTACTAGATATATTCTCTGATGAAATGAAAAGTAAAGAAAATAGACAAAATTTGTTGATGGGCACCACTTTATCTACTATTAAGACAGAAAAGGATATAAACGAATTAGATGATATTCAATTATTAAACTCAGGGAAAACATCAAACTCTAATGCATTACAATTAAATGCCTTTAATGACTCAAAGAAACAGAAAGTATCTGAAGAACCAAAATCCCGAATAGATGGCACGTTAAGTGATAAGCCGACAGTACCAACTTCTAATGTTATCAAATCTCCCAAAAATAAAATATCGTCGCCTATATCTTATATGAACCCACACCCTAATCACCCAAATGCCCTCTATTTGAAAGATGGATATGACAAATGGTCTAACAACGTGGAAGAAATATTTATTAAAGCACTTCGACTCGTGATGAAGAATGGTACTTCAAAGATAAAGTTAAGGGATAATAATTATGGTAGAAATGAGTTGATCTCATTATACATTAAATATTATACTGGTGAATTCAGGACAAAGAAACAAATCTCGTCGCATATCCAAGTATGGAAGAAAGCTATTTTAAATAAGATTTCAAATAATATACAACTGACAGAAATGGACCAAGAATTGTTGACGTTAATTGAAGAAGGTGCACAACAAACAGAAGAATCTACAAAGTTATTTTACGAGACATTTGAAACAATACTAAGTAAGTTGAAACTATCTTCAAACGGCTACGATTATATTTCTGTGAATCCACAAGCTTCACAGACCGTAACTAGAACCAACCAAATCAAGAATTCAGATGGTATTGTTCCACAGGTACCATACCCTACAGATAGTCAAGCTTTATTGAATTATCCAAATTTAATAACGCGAAAGAGTGTGCCTGGTTCTACGACAAAACAAATTACTCAAAATTATAAAACTTCAGAGCCACAACAATTCCATACAATGAATAATTATCCGGTTACCCCATTAGATTATGCAAAGTCTCTTTATGAAAATATGAAAAGTTATAAATGTGTTCCAGCTAGGATAGAAGATGATTCATATACATCTTTTTTAAAAGATATTCAGGGTACTAAAAACGATCCGACTATGGGTGTAAGTATAGAAGATGAAAAGCGTGAATCCAATGGAAGTTTAAGTTCTCGTATAAATTCAGAAGCAGTGATAAAAAATGCTGAAAGAGTTAAAGCTGAGCAAAGGAAACTCATAGAAGAGCTCAATAGGAAATCTAAAACAAATGTGAACGTTGATCTCCCTAGTATAGGAAACAGGTCCGTTAGTAACAGTTCGTTTTATGATAGAGTACCATTTTCACAAGAAGATTTAAATTTAAGACCAAAGGATTGGGGTACATCAAAGGAACCACCCCTCTCGCTCTATATGGTGCCTCAGTCGCAAGTACAAGAGCAAATGTCCTCGCAATTGCAAAGTTCAATTTCTGGTAATTCTATGCCATTCCAACAGGACACAGTATCACCTTATTTACAATCACAACAACCAACACAACCTCTCACATTATACCCTGGTCAATACGTAGTTCCTTTAACTCAGCAGCAGCAGCAGCAGCAGCAGCAGCAGCAGCAATTATCACAAGCTCAATCACAACAAGGGCTTACGCTATCCAAAATGTCACCCCAAGCTACATTTGCTTCATATCCGCAACAGGCTGGTTCTCAAGCGGGTGTCCAACAAGGTGTACCTTCATCATCTGTGTATTATTATCCACGTCATGCCTATATTCCTTCTTCCAATACTTATCCGAATGGGCCTTTCCGTTCCAATCTATCTATTCCATACAATGATCTTCCTTTTGAACAATTTCCTAATGGTAGTCAAGAATTTGAGTAGTAACTACATGCAAAGGATAACATAACGAGAATGACAGTAAAACTTTTGTCATGTCGGTTATTTTGCACTTGCTTCTCAAAGTTATGGGATGAAACATAGAACGAAGCGGGAATAAGAATAAATTTATCAAGGTTATTTATATATAAATCATCATCCAACTTTTCCAAAAGAGGGAAAAGAACAAGAAGACAAAAAATTCATATGTGTTACCTTATGAAGCAAGAAGTGTAATTATTATACCCTTATGCTAACAATTTTGTCATTATTGATTTCTTATTTTTTTTTTTTGTATAGGTTCTTTATTACATACAAAATACGTATATGTATAAAACTTTTATGAAAAATAAACTAAAAACATTAATCATATATTTTCATTGTATACAATTCACTTCTTAAACCATGTCACAAGTCTACTGGCGCTTCCTTAAACCTAAAACAATCGTCATGTCAATGTTAATCTGTTGACAACCAAAAATTCGAAAATTCGAAAAATCTAAACAATGCAAACCATGTCAAAACGAACAATAAAAACATTCTAAGTCTGACTCCTTCTACTGCGGCTCTGTAAAATCTCTTCTTTTCTTTAACTCTGTCCGCTTATTAGACAGAGACAGCTGTGGCGGCGGTACAAATCCGCTGATATAAGCTGAAACATTTTAATGGCTGGAAAATTCGTGTTGGGTCCCATAAAGATAGATCCATCGATGAACAACTAGATTGGTTATATATGGACATACTGGTAAAGAAACGGTATGTAGAGTAAACTTTTATATAAGTGAACTCTGAGATGAGCTAGGTTTAATTATTATAATACATTGAATTGGTTTTAGATACTTGAAATTTGCTTGGCATACAGATTCCAGATATAGGTAATATTAATAAGGATAAGCAATTGCTTTGGAAGAAACAACAGCAATCATGTTAACATCATCAAGGCATTATGTTCTCAATTGTAGCAGAAATACATTGACTCAGATGGCGAGACGATACTCACCATATCATACTTTATCAGGTACAAATTATTCTAAACTTATTAGACAACAAATTAAGGATGAGGTCCACAAACTAAAGGCCCAAAATCCAAATTTTAAACCTACATTGAAAATAATTCAAGTAGGTGATAGACCTGATTCTTCTACGTATGTAAGAATGAAACAAAAGGCAGCTGTTGCTTGTGATTTGATTTCTGATACAGAAAAATTCCCTAGTGATATTTCACAGGCGGAATTATTACAAAAAATTATTGCTATCAATAATGATCCAAATGTTCAGTCTATTATGCTCCAATTACCATTACCTTCACATCTCAATGAAGATATAATCACCAATACAATTGCACCAGAAAAGGATGTTGACGGTTTAACTACTGTTAATATTGGTAAATTGACTCAAAAGAATGGAAATCCATACTTCATCCCATGTACTCCTCATGGTATTATAAAATTATTGAATCACCATAAGATTGAAATGAAAGGTAAATTGGCCGTTGTATTAGGGAGGTCAGATATTGTAGGTGTCCCCGTGGCAACTTTGCTACGTAATGAGAACGCAACAGTTATTCAATGTCATAGTGCAACAAAGGATGTCGAAAATTTAATTGGTATGGCAGATATTCTAGTTGCCGCATGTGGGAAACCTTTATATGTTAAAGGCGAGTGGTTGAAGGAAGGTGCTGTAGTAATAGATGTTGGTATCAACTATATAAAGGACCCAACAAAGAAATCAGGTAACCGGTTAGTAGGTGACGTCGATTTTGAATCAGCAAAGGAAAAAGCATCCTTTATTACTCCTGTTCCAGGTGGTGTTGGTCCAATGACTGTCTCGTTATTGATGAATAATGCCCTTCTTGCTGCTAAAAAACAATTGATTAGATCTGACGCACCATTGAATATTAGTAGATTACCATTGAAGACTGAAAAGGACATTCCATCTGACTTTGAAATTGCCAAAGCACAAACACCAAAGGATATAGCCTTATTGGGTTCTGAATTGGGTCTGTTACCTAACGAATTGGAGTTGTTTGGTTCTTATAAAGCTAAGGTTTCTCATTCTGTATTGGAAAGATTGAAAGATAGAGACAACGGTAAGTATGTCCTTGTGGCAGGTATCACTCCGACACCATTGGGTGAAGGGAAATCTACTACGACAGTTGGTTTAGTACAGGCTTTGACTGCACATCTAGGTAAGCCTTCGATTGCTACTTTGCGTCAACCTTCGATGGGCCCTACATTCGGTGTTAAGGGTGGAGCCGCAGGAGGTGGTTACTCACAAGTAATTCCTATGGATGAATTCAATCTTCACTTGACAGGTGATATTCATGCAATTGGTGCTGCAAACAATCTGTTAGCTGCTGCTATTGATACAAGAGTATTCCATGAAAGTACCCAAAAGAATGATTTGACATTTTATAATAGATTGGTTCCAAAGTCTAAGGGAAAGAGGAAATTCACACCATCTATGTTGAGAAGATTACAAAGATTAGGTATCAACAAGGAAAATCCAGATGATTTAACTTCGGATGAAATTAAAAGGTTTGCCAGATTAAACATTGATCAAGATACTATTTCAATTAAGAGAGTTGTTGATGTGAATGATAGAATGCTAAGGAAAATAACCATTGGTGAGGCAGCCACTGAGAAGGGACATACTCGTGTTACTGGTTTTGATATTACTGTTGCGTCGGAATTAATGGCAATATTGGCTCTTTCCAAGGATATGAAGGATATGAGAGAAAGAATCGGTAAGATGGTGGTTGCCTTTGATGTAGAAGGTAAACCAGTCACCACTGAAGATATTGGGTGTGCAGGTGCATTAGCAGCTCTATTAAGAGATGCCATTAAACCAAATATGATGCAAACACTAGAAGGGACACCTGTATTCGTCCATGCAGGTCCGTTTGCTAATATTTCTATTGGTGCATCTTCTGTATCTGCTGATCTTATTGCATTGAAATTGGTTGGTACGTCAAAACAAACACCAATTAAGGCCCCAGGTTATGTTATTACCGAAGCAGGTTTCGATTTCACGATGGGTGGTGAGAGATTCTTTGATATTAAATGTCGTGCATCTGGCTTAGTTCCAAATGCTGTGGTCTTGGTCTCCACTATCAGAGCCTTGAAGTCCCATGGTGGAGCCCCAAATGTTAAGCCAGGCCAACCTTTACCTGAGGAGTACTTAAACGAAAATGTTGATCTCGTAGAAAATGGTGTTTGCAACCTTGTGAAACAAATTGAAAACGTAAGAAAATATGGTGTTCCAGTTGTTGTCGCAATCAATAAATTTGGTACTGATACGGTTGCCGAAATCGAGGTTGTCAAGAGAGCTTCAAAGGCTGCAGGTGCTTTAGATGCCGTTGTTTCCACGCATTTTGAAGATGGTGGTAAAGGTGCTATTGACTTAGCTCATGCTGTTGTTAACGCTACAGAACAAGAATCTCATTTTAAACCATTGTATGATTTATCTCAACCATTTGAAGAAAAGATGACTACCATCGTGAAAGAATTATATAACGGTAAGGATATTAGTATATCGCCGGAAGCTTCTAAGAAACTGGAAATGATTAAAGCTCAAGGTTTCGGGGATTTGCCGATCTGCGTTGCCAAGACTCAATATTCTTTATCTCATGACGCCAAATTAAAGGGTGTTCCTTCTGATTTCACATTCCCAATAAGAGATGTGAGATTATCCACAGGTGGTGGATATATTCAAGCATTGGCCAATGAGATTCAAACTATTCCTGGTTTGTCTACGTATTCTGGTTATATGAATGTTGAAGTCAATGACAAGAATGAAATCGAAGGTTTATTCTGAAAAGGAATAAAGTTGTAACTGTTAATTTAATTTTATAAAGTATAAAATAGTTGAGTTAAATGTATCTTACTCATTTGACGTAATTTCTAAATAATCTTCGATTTATATTAAAGAAGGTACCGCCGATTTGATAATTAGTCTCGATATAGATATCTAGGTCATCAAAAAAAAATTGAAATCATTTTTTTTATATATATTTATATTCTTTTCATGGTAAAAACACCATTAACATAAGAAATTAATCGAGTAATACTTCTAAAACGTAAACAAAAACTAAAATTTTAAATATCTATATTAATAAAATATTGTAATTAATTTATTTAAGCATCTTCCTTTAGTAGAGCTTCTCTCTTTTCAGAAACTCTTTGAGCTCTTCTTTCTCTAGCAGCTCTGTTCTTGGTTCTTCTAGCATCAGCTTCAGTAGCAAGAGCCTTTTCACGTTGAGTGTCGGCCTTGGCTTGAATAATGTGTTCAACTAGAGCTCTCTTGTGCTTGAAAGCGTTACCCTTGGCTTCCTTGTATAGAACATGGTATAGGTGCTTGTCGATCTTACCAGCGTCTCTGTACTTGGCCAAAAGTCTTCTTAGGACTCTTAGTCTTCTGATCCAGACGACTTGAGATGGCAGACGGGCTTCAGCAGTACCCTTTCTCTTACCGTAACCAGTGTGACGACCAGCTCTCTTGGCTAGAGTGTAAGCTCTAGTTCTGGACTTGGAGTGGACAGTGACGGCCTTTCTGACGATGGTACCGTTCTTGACCAATCTTCTGATGGCGTGTCTAGAGTTAGCTTCGGCGATTTCAGAAGTTTCGTTTGGGTCTAACCAAACCTTTCTCTTACCAACACCGATAACAGAAGCGGCAAGTCTCTTTTGGGTACGTAAGTTAGCCCTGTATCAAAAAATATGTATATTAGTAATACCACAATTTTAATTGATATATTTATTTTCATATGAAAATAAATGGTAATAATAATAACAAATGATTGTTAGTTAATAATATTCAAATAAAAAAAAAAATTAAAAAATGGGAAAGAAAAGTCAGGTATTAGGATATAGTTAGAGGCAATGAAGTTGTACATTAAATTAGGATAGGATAATGGAGTGTTCAATATTTCCATTACATATTCTCTCCTTTCTGTTAAAAAAATAAAAAAAATTCATGACCTTACATTATTATAATCACAATCGTCTTCCTTACATTGAAATAATCACTTAAAGTAATAATATAATTTTTCCATGTTGTTAACCACCGTGAAACGTTTCTTAATTGTTCATCTTCTAATATTCAATATAATAATAATTTCGCAAAATTCTCTTACGTATTCAATTATTCATAAGTTATTGCTCTGTCTTTCTATATATTCAAATTCCAGTTTAAGCCTTCACTGTAAAAGTCATTTAAGTATTAAAATAAATATTATGTCCCAATTGTAAAAACCTCATCCAATATATACATCTATAATTATCTCTTTATTTCATTTTCGTTCTTCCATTCATTCATCCATTTCTAACACATACATTTTTGCTTTTAATTGTTCTAGTTCTTTTATTCTTCAAGTGTAAAGTAATAATAAAATTAAGTAATACTACAATGTTAACCTTTTTCTAGTTACAATTATTCTTTTGTATATATGGTTCTGTAAAGAGGTTATACAATCATTAACTTCCTAGTTGGTAATTAGAAGAGAGAAGGGATTATTGAAAGGAGGATTAGGTAGGTTCTTTGACAAAAACAATTTTTTCCTTACACAATGAGATGGTATGGATGGTTAGCCCTCTCTGTAACTGGGAGAAGAGGGGCCTATCTTCCTTACATTGGCACTACCTGATCTCCGTAGTGGGAGACACACAGCGTGGATAGAGAAAAAGCGTCATTGAATTCCAAAACAAATATGTAACCAAACGCGGTTTCTATTAGAAAAAATATAACAAATTCAAATTTTGGAAAAACATTTGGTACAACTTTGTGGGTGTACGGATGTATGTGTACAATGTGTGGGTGTTTCAAAACGCAGTCCCGGCAAAATTATTTCAAGAAATATTGACTTTTTTTCGTTCGTTTTGAGGACTACTGATAAGATTCTAGAGAGGTTATAGCAGAAAAGCATGTCCTGTTTGTTTGTCTCCAACTACATGGTATGATAATTCTATATAATAACATCGATGAGGTAGTTAAGGTTCATCACTCTCATTCTTGTAGTTGTAAAACAAAGATGAAAGCACTTCAACCCATCTAAAGGACGCAAAGTAAATTCGTGAAACAGAAAAAAAAAGAAATAAGGTGGGGTTTGTTGTTACACAGCCATACGAGCATACAATATATTAACATGAACGGTTGTTCATCCACTTCCTGTCTCTGTTTCTCTTTTGAGATGTTGATCTTGTAGTAGCTGTTGTCCGTGAGCGGTAGCAAAAAAGAGAATAATCGTTTATATCGGTCGTGGCACCACACTCTGTCTGTATAGATATATAGATATATATTGGAGAAAACCTGTAGCCAATCATTCTCGAGTATTCGAATGCCGGAAAACGGGAAACTGGCAAAATAAAACTTAAATCAGTTTGAATCAATTAAAAAAAGCGGGAGACCCTTATCACTCTCCACGACGTGTATATACATGTATAAATACGAATTCCCCTTATTTTATCTTCGCTCTCTGCTTGCATTATTCTATGCCACAATAATGAAACGCGTAGAACATTACTCGTACAGTAATAGTAGCAAAAATTAAAAAGCAGCACGTTCATTGGTCGGTCATGCTTGCATTAAGGACAACTCTACATACTAAAGATGTACGGACATACAAAATAGTGTTATTACATGACATGGGATACTACAATATCATTGGTCAACACGTTGCAAGTCAACCACTATATGGTAACAAAAGTGTTAAACAGAGAGAGACATTATTGATCGATGAAAGGAAGAGAGATGAGCAATAGAATAATATCTACTTGATTACTACAGTTCTTTCTTACTAAAGTGAGTCTCTAATTAATGATTCGATGGGGTAGTTCATCTCTCTCTCTATCGCATCTAACGTTTATAACGTCTTATTCTGTCTCTATTCTCACGTAAATTATTAGTAGTAGTGGTATTATATCTATCTATCTATCTATCCATCTCTGTCTCTGTCTCTGTCTGTCTCGCTCGGCTTGTTGTTAATCTTTTGTTATTCTGTACTAAATTTCTCTCATGCTTTTTCACTCCCCTCACTCATTCCATTTTTATTTTAATTTGAATAGAGAGAGAAAAAACATTCCATTCCCATTCATCATCGAGATGGTCCCACTTAATTAGTATATAAAGATAATGGTTGTCTCATTTATAAATCAATGATTTCTTTCTCTCTCTCTCGTTTCCCATTTATTTTTTTGCTTTTTGAATAGTTATATTTTTCCTTTTTATATATTACCTCTTGCTTTCTCTTTTTTTACATTCTATTCCTTTCTAAGATCAGTAATTCAGTGATTTGTATATATATAAAAGCACATTGATATTCGTGAATATTTAATAAAAATAAGAAAAACTGCATAATTTTTGTCCCCTATAATTTTTTCTATTATTATTAATATTATTTCAACACAGTAAATACTTACAATAAAAAAAGATCGAATTCTAAATTTTTCTTTTTCTTTTTACCCCATTACTATCATATTCCTATTGTTATTACCAAACATAATATACTCACATACACATATTTTAAAAAATGAGTACTGAAATTAAACAATCTAACTTCGCCATCGATTTTCTGATGGGTGGTGTTTCCGCCGCTGTTGCAAAGACTGCTGCTTCCCCAATTGAAAGAGTTAAATTATTGATTCAAAACCAAGATGAAATGATTAAACAAGGTACTCTAGATGTCAAATACGGTGGTATTGTCGACTGTTTCAAGAGAACCGCTCAACAAGAAGGTATTATCTCTTTCTGGAGAGGTAACACTGCTAATGTTATCAGATATTTCCCAACTCAAGCTTTGAATTTCGCTTTCAAGGATAAAATTAAGGCTATGTTTGGTTTCAAGAAAGAAGAAGGTTACGCTAAATGGTTTGCTGGTAACTTAGCTTCTGGTGGTGCTGCTGGTGGTCTTTCTTTACTATTTGTTTACTCTTTGGATTACGCCAGAACTAGATTGGCTGCTGACTCTAAATCTTCCAAGAAAGGTGGTGAAAGACAATTCAACGGTCTAGTCGATGTCTACAAGAAGACTATCAAGTCTGATGGTTTCGCCGGTCTATACAGAGGTTTCTTGCCATCTGTTGTTGGTATCGTTGTCTACAGAGGTCTATACTTCGGTCTATATGATACTTTGAAACCATTGTTGTTAACTGGTTCTCTAGAAGGTTCTTTCTTGGCTTCTTTCCTATTGGGTTGGGTTGTTACTACTGGTGCCTCCACTTGTTCTTACCCATTGGATACCATTAGAAGAAGAATGATGATGACTTCTGGTCAAGCCGTTAAGTACGATGGTGCTTTCGACTGTTGTAGAAAGATTGTCGCTGCTGAAGGTGTCGGTTCTCTATTCAAGGGTTGTGGTGCTAACATCTTAAGAGGTGTCGCAGGTGCTGGTGTTATTTCCATGTACGATCAATTGCAATTGATCCTATTCGGTAAGAAGTTCAAATAGATAATGAAACTTAAAAGTTAGTATTTTAACGTTCTTTTTTTTAATTTAATTTTCAATCCACTATTTTAACACCATGAATTATCATTTTACTCTCTTTCATTTCATTTTATCGATAATTTTACTTTTATCCCAAATTTTTTTTTATTGTTATTCCCCTAAAACAATAACAATATAATATAGGTTAAAATTGTAAAATCTCAAAACGACAAACTGCTAGAGTTATATTAATAATAAGTATATATATATATAATATTCACAATAATTATAAGAACAACAATGTTCATTAAGACAAGCAAACAACAATTTTACGTTTCTTAGCAGCGGATGACTTCTTTTTAAGGTTAAGTGATAACGTTTACCAATATTGAGTCAA